GAAAAGTCAGGTGGGTCCGTGTTCTCACAAATGAGTAACTGTTAAAACTAAAGACCTTGGAAAATGTTGTTTATAAGGTTGCCTGTGGCTCATGGCTGACAGTGAATTTTCTGTAGTGCAGGTATTGCTTCATTAAAAGCAGAACTGTTTCTGGAAGGAGAAGAATGTGGATTCAGAGTGTTTAAAGTCAGGGAAGAATATGGTACTGCGGTGCTCTGAATAGGCAGACCTTTTGGTTGTAGGTAAAAATCTCTATGAAACATCCTTGCTGTAACAACGTCACTTTTATTTAAACATGCATTTGTTCTGAGCCCCGAAGGGATGCCTGCTGCTATGCCGGTGGCTGGCATGGTTACTGTGCAGGCATGTGTGCAGTAAATCTCAGCTGGTGCCAGCTCTGGGAGGGCTTCAGTAGCCAGTGCTGTACAGACCAGTTGCTGGGAAACCCTCCTGCTCCTGCTGCAATTACAGTGGAATCAGGTAGTCTCCTTTGTGCCGCGTCCTGTAACCAGTGCTGCAGGGAACGGCGGTAAGATTCGTATGCTTAAATCATTTTTGAAGAGGTATGTTCTTTGGGTTTTCTTGGGGCTGGTAAAAGATTTAGGGAGGGGAGGCCCCTGCCAGTGCAGTTCCACCACTGCCTTCTGTGATGGGAGAATACCACGGACTTAACAATTCAATTAAAAGGTGTAGCGGCATGATTATCAGTGGATACCTGCCAGAAATAAGGCATCTCCTTTAAAAAGGACCCATGTGCTTCAAGCCCAAACTCCCAACTGAGAAATCTCACAGAAGAATTCAAAAGCTAGCTAGTTTTTACTTTTTTTTTTTGAAGAATATAAAAGGAATCAAGTGTGAGAGAGCTGCAGAGAGCAACGTGCAGTCAGGTTCACGGAGAATAGAGGGGAAATAGTGTGTCTGAATAGCCCAGTTCTGGCCTCAGCTCTGTCAGCTGATGTACCGCAGGCTCTTGTGAGCAGAGCAGAATGTGGATTTGCAAAAGACACATGCTGTCTATTTATGGCCTGCTGCTGCTATACAAACACCTCTTTATCCCTAGTCAGAAAAATGATTTTGGCAATAATTATAGCCAAGGGCTTTGTTTGTACTGATGGATTGATCAGTTGTTCTTTAGTATTACATTGACTGTCGTCGTGCTTCATGAACACTAACGTTCTATTGATGCCATTTGCTTGTTATGATAAAGGTTCAAGCCACTTTATGTGGACATTTGTAGTGGGCACTTCCAGTGAAGTATCTGTAAGCTTGCTATCTGTTACATTAAGAAAAACGTAGTCCATGTCATGCCAGTAACTCTCCACCCCCCAAAAAATGAAGCTTTAAATGCATGCCTCCTTTTCAAAGAAAAAATGGACTGTAATTCTGTCCAAAGGTTTATGGTGACATCCTGATTTTTTGAATTGGAGTTGTTACCAGACTCCAAAAATCACAGTCTTCAGCCCAGTTTACAGTGTGCTCATCCTTATGTCCCTGCAGGTTAGGGTGGAATCACGTGAAATATTGCGCTGCTGTGTATTACTCCTAGGTGAGAGAGCAGGGCTTTTTGGGTGCTTCTGACTGGTTGGAAATTGCTCAGAAACTCACGCAGTATTTTTAGTATATTGGTACATTTTACAATGCAGTCAGATAGCTGCGTGCTAAAAAGTTGCTCTATTGCAGTCAGTATTGTATAGTACATAATATTTAAGTTTTTCTTTTCCTAATAAGGAACAAAGTAAATGCTTCCACTTTTTTTAACTGTAATGATTTTAAAATTGTACTAAATAAACTGTTACCAACAAGCTTATTGCAATAACTCTAAATGTGCTAATGAGAACAGATGCTGCTATACAATACAGTAATGCACGAACACTTAGATGCAGTCTTTGTCTCAAAGCAGATGTAGTTGAAATTGATACAAAATGTAACAACTAAAAATTAGTACCAGGATGAAGGAGGGGGGGGATCCAAGAATAAGTTTAAAAGGTGAATTAGTTCATCGGTTTCCGCAGCTGAACTCAGAAGCTGCAGAAATATTTTTGTGCTGTTACAGACATGGGAAAAGAATGTGTAGTGCGAGATTATATAAGATCTGATTTGCATCAGCGTTCTTGTGCGTGAGTCGTCAATCCAAAATCTGGCATATCTGTCTTCATCACTGCTGCTAACAATATCTTTTGAAGACTTTTTAATTAAAAAAAGAAGGGGGGGGGGGGGGAAGAGGGAACAAAAGAAGGAAAACACAGAGCATATGGTTATCTTGGTGACAGTGCTTTGCTTTGTCGATAATGTTATGGTCATACGCTTTCCCCGTGAGTAGCAAACCAGCCGGGATTTCATGCACCTGCATCAGGGCACGCTTCCATCATAAGCAGGGCTGGGAGGAGCAGGAGCATCCGGTACTTGTTGGGTTTTTTCCCCTCTTCCAAACAGGTAGTGGCCAGTAGCCTGCATTTACGTTACTCTGACACTGGACATCTCTGTGCTGGCGGGCTGCGGTGCCTGGGGCTTCTGGGGAGCTGGAAGAGAGCTGCAGAGAGAAAGTCATCCTGCAGTGCAGCGAGAGCAGAGCATGTGCAAGCAGTGTGCCAGTGCTGCCGAGAGCTGCCGCTGTAACTGTTACAGTCTAGCAGCTGCTTTATTACAATAACACATTTCAGCTGGGTTTCAGACCAGTAGCTCAGATGTCTAATAAAAAATGTCTTTCAGGAGGAAATGGTTGAAAGGAGCAAATGCAATTCTTAGCAATAATGATTCCTACTGTTGTTTCATTGCTTATTCTAGGGGGCCCAGTCTCTCTTCTTAGGGCTTGATGCATTTAATTCCATGCTAGTATTAATGAAAGTTAATTGCCTTGCGAATTTCCTGCAAATTGCACTTCCTTCCAAATTATGAAGAGATCAATGTCAAATACCTTATTTGATGTGACAGCTCTTCGGATGCAGGTAAATCTTTTCCTGCGAAAAGTAGTGTTCTAATAAATAGTTCTGACTATTTCTTCTGACAGTTAATTTTCTGCATAGCTGCAGAATAATACACATAGGTTATTCAGGTTAGGTCTGAATCATGACAGAATAATAGCTTTTGTGAATAAAAACAGATCCAAAAAATGTGCATTGTTACTTCTCTTTAACCAGGATTAGTTTCTGGCTGAGTGTTTGCCTGCACTTGGTGACCAGGAAAGGACTCGGTTGAATTGCTTCCTATTACACTGTTCTTTTTAAATTGAAATGCTGTTGCTGTTCCCTCTGTGTGTATGTGTATAGACAAAAATTCTTAATTCTGCTGTTTAAGTATTCTGTAGCAAGACATTTTTATATGGCATGTGACTGTACAAAAATGTTGAAAGAGTATACAAAGTCTGCAACGCACAGTCAGCCAGTAACCCAAAGAAGGGGCTTGTGTTGTGCTATTCTTATACATTCATGTATGTATGTATGTAAAATACATATATGAAGAATAGTGGGTTTTTTCATCCCAGACTCAACCTCTTATTTGCTTATTTTTATATTTCTAATTTAGCCTTTTGGTGAACAGAATTTAAACAATTTCCACTTGTTATAAAAACATTGTGATGAGATGTAAAAATAGAAAAAAGTAAAATCCTAAGGATCCTAAACCTACAATTTACTTGTCACCTGAATTTGTGCAAATGGTTTAGTCTCATCTTGCTGCTTGTAAAATTAATATATTTTCCTAAAGTGTGCTGATTCACAGAGAAGCCAGATACTTGATGGCACATCATTCAAATAATGTTACATAGTAAAAAGCAGATACTGCAGAAAACCCTTGATTATTAGAATTTGCTGTGAAAATATATTAATTTATATTCTATACCTGTATATGCGTGTGTGTTTGTGTGTATATATCTGTTCCATTGTATTTTTTTAATGTAAAGCCGAATTTCCTAAATAAAAAGTTGGAGGGGATGGGGGGGAGTCTTAAACACAAGAGAATACTGTTCAATTCAGCATACTTGAAGTTTTGTGTTAAAAGATGTGGAAAGGTTTTATTTACATTTGAGGCTTTGCTGACCTCTGCTGGAGAAAGAATTATCTGCAGTTTTACGGGGATCTTTCATGCAGTGCATCTGTGGAGAAGTGCTCTGGCTCTAAATTCTGAGGGGAAAAAAAAAAAAATCACTGTAACTCGTTTCCCTTATACACTATAACATGATTCCAGGAAACTTAATTCTCTTTGCTTGCTGTTATGACGTTAGTGGTCAATGAAAACTGCTCTGCCTTGTAACGAAGTGTTGGATAGAGGAGGGAGTAGGCAGCATCTTAGCTTTCCTGGCTGCAAGGCTGTCAGCATTTTGATGAGGGAAGAAATGTGCTCTTGGCAGTTAATGAAAATGCAGTTTTAGCAACTAGGAGGAGGTTTTTGCTTCTGCTTTTAATTTTACTCTGAGGATCCCATCCGTTCAAGCACGCTGAGCCACCATCTTATCACAGCTATCTGTGCATTCTCTCTGGACATCTTGCGTGTTTCTCTCAACTCGCTAGAGTTTAAACTGATCTTTCCTCCAAAATTCATGCTATTATTACTTTGCCTGGAACACAGTTAATTTCACACATCTCCTTCATCTGATCCACAAAATTCCCTTTGCAGTATGTCTTAAGATTCAGCTTTTTGCGTTCTCAGCACTAAAACTGTATCAATCCTCAACTCTGAAGTGATGATTAAATACGCCTTTGATTATACCTGTGGCCACTGCATGTCCATCATAAAACCATGTATATTGTTTCTTGTGGTGTGATCCAAGACAATTGAATGTGGAGACCCAGATTGATAGCAAGCTGCCTTAACTGTGGTACAGTTTTATGTTGTTTCATGTATTGCTATGCAGCAACTAATAGAAGAACTTTTGAAATAGAAAAGTATTCAGATACAAATATTTGAGAAGCCTCAAACTTAACTGCTAATCCATCTGTGTACTTCTGCAAGTATGCAAGCCATTTTTCTTGTGCAGTAACTCTGAAAATTTTACTGTTTTTCAGGATATTCACATTGTACAGCAAATCTTTGCCACTAGACTTGGCGTGTCGTATCTGGGATGTGTTCTGCCGTGATGGAGAAGAGTTCTTATTCCGTACAGCCCTGGGAATATTAAAACTTTTTGAAGATATTTTGACCAAAATGGACTTCATTCATATAGCCCAGTTTTTAACAAAGCTACCAGAGGACTTGCCTTCGGAAGAATTCTTCACGTCTATTGCTGCCATTCAGATGCAAAGTAGAAACAAAAAGTGGGCTCAGGTAAAGAGGATGTTGATCTTTGGTAACAGATGATTGTACTGTACTCATGAAAACGGGGTTTGGCAACACCTGGAAGAATGTTTTAGCGGAGCTAGTGTTCAATTTTACAGGTAGGTAGGACTATGTAGCTCACTTCATGCTTTTAGTATACATTCAGGTGAGTAGATTCCCTGAGCTCTTTCTCCTCTGGAAAGGGAGAGCTCAGTCAACATTCAAAATTGAAATGCTGGGTGGAGTCGATGAAGTAAAGTATCATATGACCTTTTTAACTTCCTAAGTACAAAGGCTGCTAGCAGCATTACAACTTGATATTTAAAAGCAGAAACTTACTCTTTGGGAGAAGATGGCAATTTGTCAGGACATGTCATCATACAGTCATTATCTTAAGATCCCTGAGGATCTAGTTTGCCTAGGTTTGGGCTGTAAAGAAGTGACTGCATCTCTGACTTCTTCACTGGAATTTAGCACTGAAGCCTTTACTTAAAAAATTGTAGTCTCATCACTGTAATTCCAACTAAATTCCAGGTTAAAGAAAAAAGACAGAAGTGTGTCGTCTGAATGTGGAAATTAAGTAGCTGTAACAATCATCATGCTGGAGAGTTAGGTCAAATGTACTCCATAGCATTTGGAGTGTAAACGCCTTTTTTTGTTGTTGTTATTGGGGTTTTTTTGTTTGTTTTTGTTTTTTTGTTTGGTTTGGGTTTTTTTCCCTCCTTCAAAGCAGAAATAGTCTGCTTCATGAAGCATGCTGTAATAGAGCTCTGTCCAGTTTGTCAGTTCTTTTTTGCAGTGAAACTGAAAGGTGGTGTTAAACGTAGTGGTTATGGGAGTTCGTGGTTCTTTCCTGGAGTAGTAGTCTGCCTGTAGATGGGAGGCAGGGGGATGACTGCCAGCTTGCTATTTGAGATGAGAATTTAACCTTCACAGTAAGATTAGATTGTAGCCTTCTGAGCCTTATCTTGTGTACAAGGGGGAGCACAACCTGCGCTGCACAGCTAAGAGCAGCATGCTGCTAGCATTTCCTCGCTGACACGGCTTTCCTCACAGTTTATTTTGCATTTATGTTCTGGTCTTGGTCATAAGTTGCTAGTACAGATCCAGCTTTGTTTCTATCCTTAAGAACGTTTTTCAGCCAGCAATGTCTCTTCAGGTAACCTTCCAGTCTTGTTCCCTGTTCAGATGGTTCACTTTCTTTGAACTTGTCTAGTGTGGATGAGGATCACATACCAAATCAATTCTCAGCCTACTGCTGCTTCCTTTGCACAAAAGGGGAGACAGTGGTCCTGTTCTGCGAAGTAACCCAAGTAATAGGCTTGTGTAGCCAATGCTTTTCAGTCTTTGACACCTGTGAAGGTTTAGTGGTGATTATCACAACAGGAGGAAGACTTCAAAGTAACCTAGCCTGAGCAGTCTTCCCCAGGCTCTTAATCAGCTTCATACTGACTGCGCTGGCATTTCCAATTGTTTTTGCTTGTTGCGGCAAACTGAAGAAAAAATGCTGCTGAACTGTGGTGCAAGTAGATCTCAAAACACAATTAGCACGCTGTAGGTATTGGCTGACCTCTTACCTATCTTGACTTCTGCACCAACTGGCTTTCTTCACCAGGTAGTTCCATTGCTGAGTAGGTTTCCATCAGGAAAGCATCTTCACTCTCTAGCCCGCCACGCTCTTACAGGCCAGAAGTGGGTAGGGGCTATGAGTTTGCTCACCTCATGTACTTACTGGGATTCCTCAGTTGCTGAGGTACCGCTGTTAGAATCTTGCAACCAACCTAGAAACATTAACAAGACAAAGAGCATATGGGATTATGTTTTCTATTACTAAGATGCTACCTGTGATGACCTGCTCTCTCTCTTCAGGTTTTTAAAGTTCACCAGGATGAGTTTGGATTCAGAAACGTGAATTTTGCAGTTCTAGGACAGACAGGCTTTTGGTAGTGTGTGACTTGGTTGCACAGGAGGACTCATAGCAGTGCTGGGGCTGTGGCAGCACGCACCCACACAATAATGCTTGAGAAGTCTGGCTGCAGTTGGGATGGTCCCTAGCTGGATAATTATTTGTGACTATTGTATTTGTGGACGCAAATGCGGACTTTTTGCTTCAGAAAAAAACTTAAGCAGATCTGGAGGCAGTGACATGCTCCAGACGAGCACCAGTCAGCACTAAGGTAATTCTGGTCTGAACTCTTAGATAATATCATATCATACTGCTCAGGCTGCTCACTTGGTGTGTTTCTAGACAGTCCATTTATCTTGAGAATTATGACTTCCCCTCAGACAGCATCCTTTAATAGTGCTAGACTTGTGTAATCTGGGTAGGAATCACATCTCCAGGCTTCAAAAGTGTGTGTTGGGGGGAGATTGAGTTCAAACCTTTGTTAAATCCATTTCTATCTACCATGCCACAAGAACTTAGGGAGAAGTCTCTATCAGTGGAGAGGTTCTCTGAATTTGATTACATTTAATAGTTAAAATAGTATTGCTCAGAGATAATTAAATTAGAAACTCTTCAGACAGTGATTTATTGAGTCACTTTTAAAATCTAATACTTTTTTTTTCTCCTTCCTTGAAACATCTAGATACTGGCTGCTCTGCAGAAAGATAACCGGGAAATGGAAAAAGGAAGTCCTTCACTCAAACGTTAAAACTATGATTGCCTCCAGTGACTCACGGGAAAAGAGCTAAAGTGGCAAAAGTATTGAGTACTGTTTGACATGTATGAGCCTGCAACTCAAAGTGTTATTTCAGAGTTTTGTTTAGTAATAGGATAGCCTTAAAGGGGAGAGAGAAAAAAAAAGGGGGGGGGGGGCAGGGAAGGAAGGAAATCCGGGGATAAAACCCTTATAAGTGAAACCTAGGCTTAGCCTTAAACTTTTAGTGGAACGAGCGTTTGCTGTGGACAGCATTACACATTCTGTACTTCTGATGAGGGCAGTGAAACTAAACAATATCAAGGGGTTTTCTAAGGTTTTTTTTTTTTTTCTTCAGTGTTTTAAAAGACTGGGCAATGTTGGTTGCTTTGAAAGCTATTCCTCAGTTTCATTCCTGGGCAGGATATATTTCCCATACCCATAACAGTAGCTGGATCTGGATTTTAAATAACTGGTGCTGGAATTTATAGTTAAATGATGTAAGGACCATTTCTTTAGAAATGCCTCTTGTTCTATAGGCTGTGGGTCCCATTTACCAAAGAAATCACGTAGACATAGAACTGCATTCCATTCTTTAATAAGAAAAAGTTAAGTAGAAAGTAAACTTGGAAGAGAAGTCACGCTAGCAGTGCAAAACCAATTATTCTTCAAGACAGCTTGGAAATCTATGTTTCCAATCCGGATGCATATGGAAGAAGTTCCATTAATCAGACTTAGATTCCAAACTCACCAGGGGGGTTCCTGATATTAAGCTGGCACAATTTCCCAATTGTACTCTTTCCTTTGTTTAAACACAGGGTCACGTACTACTAAATGTGTGTTTCTGTGTCTCCCTCTCCTGGGCCAGTGCCGGTTCAGGGTGTTCTTGCCTACCAGCTAATTATTCCTGTGCCACCTCTCCAGTCGTTCTGATAAAACTGTGGGCTGAGCAGATAAGTTGAGAAATGGTTAAAAGCAATTTTATAGTTACTTTAAACCCAGCTCTGCTCACTGGCAGAACTGAGGAGGAAGGGTGTAGGGGAGAAGTTAGGTAAGCTAACGTTGCTGCTGAAAAGAAAAGGTTCTGTGGGACCTCCTGAAGCTGCTGCTGCCACGGTGGGAAAGTGTTACATGGAGCTGATCTGTATGTAGTGACAAGTGAAAGAAGTTGGGGAACGTGCCAGAAAAATACTATCAGGATAGGTACAAGCTGTCATTTCCTAGCGTTTTATCCAGCCTCACACATGGGAGCAAGTTAGAGAGACAGCAGGCTGTGGTTACTTAATTCTGTTATACAGCTTAGATCCCTTCTGCATTCAGATGAATGTTAAACTGTAAATCATGAGTGCCTCTGATTTACAAGAATGTTTATTGCATAGTGTATAGTGTAAAATCTATTTTATAACTAATGACGATCATTGAAAAGGGAAACTAACTGAAGCAGTATTTGTGTTAACTGTAAACAGGTGTTACAAAATCCTCTAGCTATATGGTCAGCGGTTTCCCAATGCTCTTCAGTTTGTTTTATGCAGATTATTTTGGCATTGTCTGAATAAAAAAAAAATGAGAATAATAGTTGCACACTGCTCAACTCAACATATAATGTAAAAGATTGTGGGACATAATCAAAATACTGTCCTTTAGTACAAACATGGTTTCTGCAAGGGATAGCTTGATTGTAATATTAAAAAGAGTGAGAGCAAGATTCCCTGGTAAGTGAGGGCTCATAATCACTTTGGAAGATGTGTAATGCAAATGCAGCTTACAAGTCTGATACCTCATTGGCCTCTTTTCCTCTCCACTTTGTGTACCTGGCATAATGGATGTGGTTTTTTTGTTGGCCATCTTAATTCCTCCATACGACGACTTCTAGGCCATCACTTGCTGAAAATAGACATCAAGATGTTGATACAAAACACATGTTAATTCTCCCAGAATTTGTATAGCTTTGGTCCTTCAGTGACCGGTACGTGTATGCTACGTTGCTTTGGAGTGCAATAGAAAGCTGGAAGGTCAGTAAATGTTTTTTAATACTACTTTTTCTAGTACTACAACAAATATGCCTTTCCGTGAAGGATATGAGAGGCCTACCATCTGAAACATTTGCACTATGCTTTTAAATGGTTTATTAAACACGGAGACAACGTTTTCCTCAGTATACGTTTTTAGGTGGTACTGTAACTGGCTTTGCGATTTACGTCTTCATTGCAACTAGGTTTGTATTTCCTTTTAAACCAAGTCTAGAAGTATGGCTCATTTGTCTGGTTAAAATGCTTCTTTGGCCACTAGGTACCTTTGCAGCCATGGACAGCCTGTTCTCCTTTTTCTCTTCTTAGTAAGATGTTGAACGCAACAGTGAAAATGGGCGTAGTTGTGGGGGAAAAAGGCCTGCTGCGACACATGTGCACTGTTTGTTACTTGCAAATGCAATTTTTTTGTTCTGTGATTTGATCTGTCTGTTCTTAGAAGATGTATATATTTTCTAAATGATTTCTTTGTGTATATAAGGTATGTTCTTTAATGAAGAAAAGCAATGCAATAAGGAGCTTTGCACAGTTTGTTTTCAAACAAAATACATTTTAAAATAAATCACCTGCCTAAAGATGCAATTGTTTCAACTTCTCAGTAACTTGATTTGAAGGTAATGCTGGAATTTTGATAAAAACAGAGATAAGTAGTAAGGGCATAGAATTACTTGCCACTGAGCTTTTTAAGTTTCTTGCAGCATACCAAATCTCTTAATTAGCTATTAAGGAAAATTTCTGTAATAAATTCAGGGATTGCATAAAAAAGTTTGACAATTTTATTGTTCAGGTGCTTGAGCGTATCTGTAACATGATGCATGAGATTTTCTTTCATTGAGCAAGTGTCCCTGTCAAGCAAACTTTCTTTCCTTCATGGGTTTAAGGAAAAATAAAAATGCTGCAATACATCAGAAGTCTGCAACTACCACTGTACGTGCAGCAGATTAGAGGAACCAGAAAACTTAACCAGGTTTGGAATTCTGTACAACCTGCACTTTATAATAAAGCTGTTTTGCAACTTCAATCAGCAATCCATCATTAACGTTACTTCATTTAGTAAAGAATTTCATTTGGGAAAAAAGGTACCTTGTTACAGCTTATTTTTGAATGTTTTAAAAACTAGGATGACATATAGAGAACTATTGATACATCCCCTGTACATCATGTTTAAATTGGTTTTATGTAGTTATCAAGTCTGTTTTGTTTAGATACATGTATCAAACTGGAACTTTTTTCAACTGTAAATATATGGTTTTGTTAAATAAAGTTATGTAAAGTTATCTTAATCACTTATTGTCAGTGTAATTCAGAAATTAAAAACTTGAGTACCTGTCTGTTTCTTCACAGGTTTCGTTAACAGTTTTTGCCTGTCCAAAATCAGGACTTTGGCACACTTAAGTATTGCAGGTGGAGGATTTGTTGGTGATGCTTTCCAAGTTCTCATGTTAAAATACCTGTTATATTACATGTGTCATTTAGAAGATCTGATACTTATGGTGCCCACGGTTTAATCTGTTTCATATGCCTTTCTCTAGACTAGTTCTGAGATCTGATAAATTTATTACGAAAAATAGATGTAAATACATCTTTGTGAGATGCACAGAACTCAGAAATGCTTGAATGCCTTATCCTTTCTTTGTTTTAAAAGAAGAAAACCTGGTTTGTTGCAAGTTTTGTAATCACAAGACATTTTTGTGCTCAACTTAGGGCAGTATTCTTTTAATTCTTGCATAGGCATAACTCCAGAGCTTGAAGTGGAGAAGCTTCCTGTTGCTTACGTAACTGAAAAGAGGTTAAGACACCAAATAAAAGATAGATAAAAGCAGGGGAGAAGAGAAGACAGTACCTGTGCAACAAGACTATGTGGGGAACGCAGTCAAAGACTTGGCTGCCATGGTTCTAGTTTCCCCAGTAAACGTCTCTCTTATTTGTATTGATGTATCTTACTGTTTGATTTGCTGGATTAGAACGTATCTCCTGGTTTCAGCTGGGATAGGGTTAATTTTCTTCCTAGTAGCAGGCATAGTGCTGTGCTTTGGATTTAGGATGAGAAGAATGCTGATAGCACACTGATGTTTTAGTTGTTGCTGAGTACTGCTTATGCTAGTCAAGGACTTCTCAGCTTCCCATGCTCTGCCAGGCGCACAAGAAGCTGGGAGGGGGCACAGCCAGGACAGCTGACCCAAACTGGCCAAAGGGCTATTCCATACCATGTGGCGTCATGCTCAGTATAGAAACTGGGGGGGGTTGGCCGGGGGCAGCGATTGCTGCTCGGGGACGGGCTGGGTATCGGTTGGTGGGTGGTGAGTGGTTGTATCACTTCCCCCCCCGCCCCCGGGTTTTGTTTCTCTTGTCATTCTCCTTGTCATTACAATAATTATTATTATTATTTTATTTCAATTACTAAACTGTTCTTATCTCAACCCACAAGTTTTCTTACGTTTGCCCTTCTGATTCTCTCCCTCATCCCACCGGGGGGGAGGGTGAGCGAGCTGCTGCATGGTGCTTGGTTGCCGGCAGGCTAAACCATGACAACGTAAAATCAGAATTCCTTATGTAACCTATACCAATTTGATACAGATAAAGCTTTATATTGTGTATGTTACAGGAGTTGCACAAAATTGTTCAAAACTGGATTTACTTTTCCTTACCTGTTTTCCCAGTACTAATTCCAATCTGTTTGAAGAGAAGTGAAACACTTTCCTGCATGCCAGCACATAAGATTAGGAGGTAAAAAGACATTTGTCTTCACTGCTTCCTGATGGAATGTCTTCCTGTATTTATGGGAGGAAAATGGAGGAATCTTTGATCTTCATCCTCAGGGTGCTTTGGAAGGCTGGGGTAGCAGTGGGTTGTCTCAACAACTCAGAGCTAAGAAAAAACAGTCCTGGAGGCAGCGTGTCGAGTTTAAGCAAATGTCTTAGTAGTATTTGTTTCAGTAGAAATACCCAGTACAGGGAATATACTATCAACCTCATTTGCACCCTAAATTCTTGCCTTCTCCATATGTCAAACATACAGCAATCAAAAGCATCTAAGATTTACTTTCCCTGCTTCTTCTCCCTTTATCTGTCTACATTTGTTGCTTAATAATGTTTAGGAAGTTAAAGGAAGGTTTATGTTTATATGTCCTAAGCCAAAAGCAGCCAGAAGCGTAAGAATTTTCCTGGCAGGAACTTGTAAGAAGTCAAAACAGGGAAGAATAACTTATCTTAGGGAGATGACTGCTCATCATCCTTAATTAGCTATGAAAGCAGTTTCATGGAACACCAGGAGGCTACGTGGCTTCTGTGATAGCTCCTCTTTCAGCAGAAGAGCTGACTTTTGGTAACAAGGCTTCAGATGAAAGCTGCTGATTTTGGGGTGTCTTTTTTTAAGAGAAATGGTTGGCAGTTGCACTTGTCTCCTTTTAGTGTCCGGCAACAACAGACAGAGGTAGATCTACTGGTATTTTGTGCAAAGTTTTTGAATATTAGTTGTGTAACATCTTTTC